AAAACTCCTCTAACACTAAGAAGGAAATAAGGAATGAAACTGTCTTCCCCAAAGTAAATTGCATTCTGTGCTTCACTAAAGATGGTGAAAGCCATTTGCTTTCAACAAACTGATTTTTCCTAATTAAGATTTTCGCTGAACTCAGAAAAAGGTAGGATCTAGAGGAATTATGTAAATGGAGCATGAATCAGACCCTGCAGTTTTATTAGCAAAACCTCAGACGGAGGGTATCTCCATTTAGGGATGCAGATCCCAGATCACTTAACCAGATACATGTATCTAGGATCTGTAAAAAAACCCAAATTTTTTATTTTTTTATTTTTTTTTTTTTTTTACAATAGCTGCAACAAGCTCTATGGATGCCTTTCACATCCAAGTAAATTAAATGACAAGCAATCATTTTTCAATGAAGTCACCATTTAAGAAGTATTTGATTGTGTTTACTATATCTCTCACTGGAGCTGAGGAGGACAGACTGGAGTGGCAAACTTAAAAGTTTTAAGTAACTAGATATTGCAGAGCTGTCCACTGCATGTGGCAACATGAGACTGCCTTTAGAGGCTCATTAAGTCCCTGTCTGCTTACTGTTATGCAAGCAGATGTTGAGTCCTTCCAGAACCCTGACCAGAATCAGTACTCACAGCTGAGGTATCCTGCTCCCTGGGATGAAGAAGATTTGTACTTCAGTCTTCCCTTATCTGAGAATGAAGAGATGCAATGCTGCTGCATGGTGTTGGTTAGGTCTGTTACTTTCATAATCAAATCTGAGCAATCTTGTTCTTTCCATTTTTTTATCATGGGCTGCTTAGATTGTCTCTCTACTCCTATTTATGGTTTGTTACTTGAAAGGGATGGCAGCTTCCATTTTCCTATAGAGACCTTGTTGGGAGATTGCAGATCTCCTTTTCCTGGGAAAGAAAATGGAGGAGAACAGCAACTCCTGCTTCTCCTGATAGCTGATTGTTACCTTCTTAATGATAGCTCTGACATACTACTGGCAGGTGTTTGCCAGGCTACGCATCTCAAATGTGTTTTAATAGGCATAAGAAAGAGACGAAGAAAGGGTTTTACGTTGTGTGAAGGGAAATACTAATACAAACACAGAAAACATAGAAGCTCTTCAAACAAAACTTGGTTTGACAATAGTGCAGGTATCAATGGGAGAAGAAAAGGAATGGAGGTGAGTTTCTCTCTGTGTCACATTGAGGCATGACTATGCCAACTCAGAGGTAGACAGCCCAGACAACACTGATGCACAGTCATTAAAATACAAATCCAGTATCCCTAATAAGCCCATGCTGCAGTCCATCCCAATGCATCTTCATAGCTTTCGTTGAGCTGCATAAATTAAAGGTGATTAAGTTATGCTGTGATCACGTTTTCATTTTGCAGTTTATAGGCAAGGTAAGGTTAAGATGGCTCTGAAGTAATAGATGGGAAAGAGCCAGGGGGATGCACGGTTAACACAAGGTTGGTGAGCTGATAGAATTTCAGCATTTCCAGAGAATTTGGGGGAGAAAAAGGAACAGAATTAAACTCACTGTGGACAGAAATGAAAAGCAACAGTGATAAAGATGTAAAATGATCATCAAAGAGTAAAGGGCGATGATGATAATGTAGTGATGAAGAAGAGCAGTAGAACCAAGAGTCGAGAACTTCACATCAAATGTTGAGTCAGAAGTGAGGAGATAAGAGACTTCCAGATCAGTTAGAGGCTTCTGTGTTAAAAAAGTTTTGAATGGTGCCATTTTCATGCTTTGTATCACTTAGCTCTTCAGCTGTGCTCCCTCAGCTGGAACATCTTTGTGGTAGCAGGGAAATTGCACATAATGTAGAAGAGATCACAAAAGGCCAACTTCTTGTTTGCAGGACAGTGTTCTATATAGCACAGGTATTACAGCTATTTTGGGGGTTTGAACCTTGACAGTACATTTTTATTTGGTGGTTAAGGAATTTATATGTTTTAAATGTGTCTTCTAATTGGCATACCTTTCCCTGTTTCTTTTCTCTGTCTGCCTTTTTTTTTTTTTTTTTTTTTTTGATTCTAGCAATTTCTTTTGAGCAGGAAACCTTTGTACTTTCTCTTATTCCCTCCTGTTGGTGCATCATTGCTAGGGTCAAGAGAATGTCTCCAGCATAAAAGTGGAGAAAAACAGATAGATAAGGTACTAGTACTAACATTTCTTACAACTTTTTTTTTTTTTTCTTCAAGCTGTTTTTATAATTGGGAAGACAGAAAAGGTTTACACTGGGATTTTTAAAACATTGACTTCTTGAGATTTTTAAATGATGCTGCAGAGAAGACTTCACAAACTGAAAAGGCCGTATTTCCTGGAGCAGAGAAAAAATGGTTGGGAGTGGTTGTTCACACTGTTATCCAGAAAGAAAAGTATATACATAACACCGTATCCACGGGAGAAAGAAAAAAAAAAAAGCATAACTATGAACAACATGGCAATGCACTGTGATAACAAAAGCTCATCTTTAAAATTATATAAGAAATGAGCATATTGTCAACATGTCTATACATCACACACATTGCACCAGTCAAACCAAAATGGTCTAGTAACTACCAGTCTTAGTTTCAGCTTAAGGCAAATGAGATAAAATGCATGAAGCTAACACTAACAACTCAGCTAATCCAAAGTAATTTAATAAGTTGTCACATAGGATAAATGTAGCTGTGTTAATTTAACAAAACAAACTTTCTTTCCATACAATGGAAAAGGTGTAAGAGAATAGGTTAAACTTCACTTATGTGGTCAAATACCAGTTTTGGGTATTATCTTTATAGCTAATCAAATTTGCATGACCTTGAAGTTCCTTGAACTAGCTTGCTTGAACTGCTTTCTGGTTTTAAAAAAGTGGTTTCAGAATAATAAAAAATACTCATAGGAAAGCCAAACTTTTTACTTTCAGTAACAACCCCTTTTATTTTAATATTTTGAGTTTTATAGGTTACATTAAGATACCCTACTATTGTGTGATACCAAGCAAAAGTTTTTAGTGTTTGCAGTGTAGTGACCTAAGGTAATATTTACACTTATATATAGAATATAATTACTTAAAACAAAATATTTCAATTATAATATTTTGATTGGGTTTGAATTTATTGTTGTTTATTTTTTTAATAGGTGATTTTATAATTTGACCCTGTTCTCCAAGTATATACATATTTTGTCACTTACAATGGTGTTTTTGCTTAAAGGTATGCCTAGCTATTAGAAAACAAGCTTGTAAAGGAGTTTCCAGGATCAAGCAAGCATTATGATTCTCACTTTGCTTGACCTGCTTTATTTACATAGTTTTTTATGTTTCTCATTAATTTTCCCTGACACAATTAGGGTGTTTTGTTTTTTGTTTTTTTTGGTTTTTTGTTTGTTGGTTGGTTTTTTTTTTTTTTTTCCAGAAAGAAAGGATGTGCATGTAACATAATTATTGATACCCAAGTCTTCTCCAGTTATGCTAAGACAACACTTACTTCACTGGAAAAATTATAGCATGGATTTCACTGTGTGCATGTCTAGGAGGGACTAGACCAACTCTATATTTCAGTGGGATATAGGCACTTAAAGATACAGCAAAAATCTTGCTCGAAATCCAAGGCTTCAGGTTTTCTCTAGGTGACCAATATAATTAATTCAAAGCTAAATTCCCATTTTTAGATTTCTCTTTATATATTTATTTATTTATACACTCTCTCCGTTAGCAAATATTTATAAATATACATAAGTATGTGTGCATGTATATGCATTTCCTTCAGCAAGTCTTTCCTTCTTCCTTGATTTTATAATGGATGCATGAATGCATCCATTTTAAGCATAGGTGTGGCAAATACCTTAGCATAATATAGTTAAGAAAGGATCATGAGATAGGACTGGGAAAGACTAAGGAAAAATACAGCGGTAAAGTATATGAACTTGTAAAAAGATACTGATCTGCAAATGAACTACTATTGCATGTGAAAAATCCATGTAACTGAGAGATGACCCAATGAATCACAGTGACTGCAGAGGAGGGAGGACAGTTTTTTGCAGCTAATATATTATAACAAACAAATTAACCAAGCTAAAATCAAATCATGTAAAATATATTGCAAATATAGTGTACAAAAAAGGGGGCAAAATACTTGAAACCTTTTTTCTTTTCATGTCATTTTTAAATCACATCTTGTAGAAAATGTTCTGCAGAAGTCAGATTTCCTGTATTTTTAATGATGTAAATTATATACTATATATTTAAATAGGTGATACAGCTCACCTTATTTTTTATGTCAGCCTTTCAGGTTTTCTCTTTTCTCATCAATTTATATTTTGGGAAGATCCATGGAATTCTTCTCACAGAAAAACCTAACAACCATAATTGACACAATATGTTTAAGAAATAACTGTGGTTTGTTTTGAAACAGAGTTTGGAATATAACGCTTTAAATAGATAATGAAACTATGATTTTATGTATGCTTATGGAGGGCTTTGCAACTTTACATAATTGTGGCCTTTCAACCAACAATAGTTCCTTAATAACTTAACATCTCAGGTTTGATTTTGGTGTTGATTACAAATGTTTATAGTTTGAATTATGAATATCAGTTTGCATGAAGAAGTAGTTTATATCTGTATCTCTAAAACTGGAGCCCAGCTGTAACATTTGTAAAGCTGATAAAAATCTGCTACTCTGCTACACTGAAGCAAACTTCCTAATAATTGCAGTGGAAATAAAATAGTTAAGAGTTAAAATAAATACATAGTTGAACCCAAAATTTATCACAAACCTTTTAACTGAAATTAGGTGATGAACTTTGTGTATTATGAATTCATTTAAATCTTAAGAAATGAATGTATTTTCCTTTTCAATAGGTGAGGGATGAAAGACAGCTGATTCTCTGATGTATCTGGGTTTTACATTCCTAGAAGCTACATTTTGAGCTCAATCTCCTGAATTGCACAAGATTTGTAAATTTAGTAAAAGAAAACATTACCATTAAACTCAAGGTAAGAAATTATTATACATTGTTTTATGTATCTTTATATAAAAAAGTTACAAGTAGCAAGCATATGACACAGAAATGGGACAGTAACAGCAATAATTGTGAATGCATGCTTTTTACAATGTGTCTAGTAAAGGGATTTTTTTCCAACTCAAATACTCAGTAACATACATGCAGATTATTTTCTCAATGCAAATTCAGTCATATTGCTAGATGCTTATCCAACAAACATTTCTATTGAAGTGATTATGAATGGCTAAATACCTGATTTCAATAAATTGTTCCTGAAATTGGGAATTTAACTTGCAACGAAAAGAAGACAGAAAAAGAAAAAGTGAAATGACCAATAAGCATAATATCCAAAGTCTTATTGCCTTCTAGTAATTTACTCAACACTGCTGAATTTTGTTATGATATGAGAATAGCTGGTCAGGTAGTCCATAAAACCTCTAGCTGGTGTTTCCAAGGTCGATAGTTTCACATTTCATTGTAGCATGTTCAAAATCACCCAGGAGCGTGCTATTCTCAAGCAGTCTACATAATGAAAACAACGTACATATAGCAAAAGTTCAATGTAAATCTTCTTCCACATATCACACAACATACAAATAAATAACAGACATATAACATATCAACTGAAGCAAAACTAAGATTTAAAAAAAAAAAAAGAAAAAGGGGACAGTCTCAGTTAGGAGATAATTTCTTCTTCAAGTTTGCAGAAAATCTCCAAATGTATTTAAAAACTAAGGAGCACTTGGTGGCCAGAAACCAAATGACAAAAGAAACGTATTATTGTGCAATGGGAATATCTTGCTAAGGAAGCAAGACATGTATGTACTTCTTAGGTTTAGAGAAAGGCAATTAAATTAAATTAGAAACATGTCCACTCTTTTTTCAGACATCTGAAATAATTCACTATAGGTTTTTCCATTCAGAGTGTGCATGACTGCATGATGAGTTGTCTGAAAGCAAAACAGAGTTAAATATATTCTATTTATGAGGAAAAATACAGGCAAATATTTACCTAGACTATCTAGAAGCAATAAAAGCATTAATGGATCCTTTTTCAGTAAAATTACTGTATATATATATGTACATATAAACATGTGTATACACATATCTATGTTTATATATATATACACCTACATACATAAATTGACAGACTAGTAGCTATCTATGACTTCATTATAAACATCTGTGATTATGTTTATTCAGATTAAGTGTTGGTAACAAATTAGACAAAACTAAAAGCCTAGGAGAAGACTCAAAAAAGAGGAAGTTTAATTTGCAAACATTAAGATTAGTGCCACAGAATCTCTACATTTATCAGTACTACCACATACCCTTCCCCCGACACTTCACAAGGTTGAATGAATAAAATAAACTGAAAGCAGCTAGTTCCACATCTTCCTGGCTTCAGTTAGATTGCCAAGTTTTACATGCTATTTCACATGCTGGGACTCTAAATTTTATTTTCATAAGTCAAAAAATAAACGAAACACCAGAGCCACGCAAAGCATCCATCTTTATAATGTTTTTAGAATTAAGATTATCTTTAGCTAGGAAATGATTATAATGCTGTCAAAAATAAGGAATTAATAGATTTTCCTTAGTTTACAATGTTAAAATTGTCATCTGTCTTTCAGTATTCAAAGCTGGCTCTCCCCATACAAGAAACATATATCCTGAGAATTAGGCATTTTAGCAATATTACAAATAAAATGGAAAGCGACACATGTTTCAATTGCTATATAGGTATGTTTACTTACCTCAAGTTTGTCTCTTAGACCCTAGTTGTGTTGTACTCAGACTCATGTTTGCTTAGAGACCCAATGAGGCAGAACCTGGAATGTTATGGCTATTTCATTCAAAATAATAATGTTTACATAGAAAAAAAAATATGCATATAGATACTTAACGAACAGTACACCTTGATAATCTCATCAATATTCATGAAATAATTTACCTTAGCATGCAATTAGATTAAAATATTAAAATCACTTTTTTTTTAAGAGACAGAAATGCCTTAATGTGCAAAGAAAGTATGGAGGGCATGTAAACAGTCATAAGAAGTGCATAAAGAATGCATGCAAGAGAAAACACGAATACATATAAAAAGTTTCTGTGTTCTTTTTCAAATAAATGGTTCATAAATGTTTCTGTTTTTCTTTTTCTTTTACTTGTAAACAATTAATCATTTATATTTACAGTCATTCAAAATGCAATATACAGTAGAAATAGCTCTTTCATTAAAAATATCATGCGTGACTTTACCTTTACTTTTTTATTGATTAGAAAGATTCCTTTTAACTATATCCTTACATGTAAATACATAAGTATTCGCTATTCACTATGCTGTCTCATGTTCTGATCAATATATGTATGTGTTAATATGACAAGTCAAGATACTATGATTAATAATGAAACAGAAACAGTAAATTTTTGCAAATATTGTCATTCATTACACAGAAGATAATGTTTTGTGAGAGAAGGGGTTTCCTTACCCCAGTTTTGTGTTTCTCGTTATTGTGCCGTGCATCAAAATTGATATATGTATTTTTCATTTATTGTTGTATTGATTTAGAGATGTTAGACCAGCATGGGACGATACTCAAGGCCACCTCTTAGTTACAAGAAACCACATGCCAGTGGCTCGTTCAAAAACTAGATTCACATCAAATCTTTGGTTTTTAAAAATTTTACTTGTTCTCTGTTGACCTGTGTGTGTATGCATGTGTATATGTGTAAAATAGTAAAAGAAAAAGAAAAATATAAAGTAGAAAGGTAAAACTGAGATACAGGATCCTTCAGGAAACAGGAGTGGAGATGAGAGAGACAGGGAGAGAGAGGTAATATAATGGTATGTGCTATCAGGAAGCAGAAATTTAAACAACAAATAAAGAAGAAAGAAAATCTGTCTTTACTGAATGAAGAGTGAATATGTTTGGGCAATCAAGTCTTTACACAATAGTCTTCATCAAAAATCTATTGATACTGACCGCTGAACAGCTTTATCATGTCTGGACAGCCTGTGACTTGTGGTTGGTACCTCTTCAATTTCGTCTATCTCACACGCATCTGCAGCATCTTGTGAGTAGCTATGCTTCATGACAAGGATATTTCTCCTGTTCATGGGTTGAATGAGTGGTTTTACAGGCTGGGGTTGTATTTCTGTCAAGACAGAAGCATCTCTTGTGCTGAGGTTACTACGGCTGCCCTTAATGCTAGACACTTGTGATCCACAGTGATGGTCATGAATGCATTTTGAAGATGATCTCCGCAGTTTATGATAATTTTCAAAGTCATCTGCAACATCGGCAAGGTCAGCTGTAGGCCCTGTCCCTCTGAGGGTGCACAACTCATAATGAGGAGGCTCAAACACCTCCTGGAACACCGTTTGATCAAAGTCTGTTTTCCTTTGGACAAATTTTTTACGAGGCTGCTTGATCTGTACTATAACAGAGATAACAATGAGGATGATCACAATGCAAGAAGTCACCCCAATTATAGTCCCACTGGTATTGGTAAGTTGGTCCAATAGGTTAGCTTTTCTTTTTTCTGTGTGACAGGAGAAAAAAAAAAAAAAAGCACAGCGTTAATTGGAGTTCAAGAATAGAAACGACCAGGATGGGTTCACAGATTACTGCAAAGCTGAGCCTAGTCTATGTCTGAATTCACTTAATCAATCTCACTGACAAAAAGGAAAAAGGAAGCAATCACGTATTTATGAAAGCCAAATAAACAACACACAGGTCCTCTGTGTGCCTATTCACTTGGGAAGTGATTTATTCAGGGTATATTACAAGCTTAATTAGATGAAAAAAATTGTTTACATTTTTTATAAAAAGCAACCACCATAACAAGCAGATGTCTTTCGTGTCACCTCTGAACTCCACTTGCCTGCTAAAGCCCCCAAGACTGTTACAGATGTTCTCTTCATTGCTTTCTGTCTCTTACAGTAAATACATGCAACTAGGACATTAGGGCCAATGAAAGAGTGAGACTTTACAGGATTTAAAAAGAAATCCTTGTTTGCATTGGGAGCTTCAGTGAAGTCCTAATATTTATGAGCTAACGGGGACTGTTGACAGTACTCAATAAAAAAGGTAAATCAGGAGAAAATAGAAAAGTTATTCAAACTGAGGTTTAAGAAAGGAAAAGAAAAGCTGTGCAAGTTATTTCTTTTGTTCCTGACCTATTAATTACCAGAACTTTTCTAGACACCCGTAAAAATCCAAAAGCTGATCCTACCTACAATCCTGTACTCAGGAGCCTCTAGAAAGTTAAACAGAAAATTCAGCATTGTGAAAGAAAAAGAAAAACAAACCAGAAAATCTGCAGTAAAATAATTTCTCTGTGATTTGCTTTCAAATGGCTGCAGACACACGAGATGGTGACTGAGTCTTGTAGAAATCAGGGCTGAAAACATTGATATCAGTCACTCACAGGCATAGTAAGACTTGACAACTGTGATTAAGTTTCAACCACAGTTTAGTTTAATTTTTCCTGGCAACCTAAAACATGTCAAAGAACTTCAATGAAAAGCCTTTGAAATGAAAGTTATTGTCACCAAAACAATAACATCCATCTCTTCATAATCTCCTAGATATCAAAAATCAACTTTTCAGTACTCCCCATCGCCCACTCTTGTAGATTCACCTAGGGTTTCTCTGACTCAGACTCTGGAGAAGCAGCAGAGTTAGAAAACGCAACACAGCAGCAAACAACATTTGTGCTGGAATCAGCAAACCTCATTTTTCTAGTCAGAAAAACAAGAGAGGATAAACACACAAGACCCAATAAAAAAGTACTTGGCAAACAAAAGAAGAAAATTATTCTGGAAATTAAAGAGAGGGGAAGGTTTTCTGTTTTCCTCAGTGCTCAAGATGTAGAGAACAGATAATTATTTCCCAGCTGTATGCTTACTTTCTTTGAAGAATGTTATTCCATGTCACAGTTTTGCTGTGTTCTTTTGAAGTATCTTTTCACTTGTGTTTTACCTTATTGCACTGGTTGTCAGGATTTTACAGGCTTCAGCAGATTTATGGGCTGACTGCTAATCCACCTCATTCTGAATTTTTTCTTGATTGGTTCCTAAATTTGGCATACCCCATGTTTCCAGGAACAAATCTGCAGTAGCAGGGGAGGGCAGGAGGGAACTGTCTCCCTAGCCTGCAATGTAAGTTAGTTAAGCTCTTTTCCCTGAAAACAGAATGGAATTTGATTTTTTTTTCCCCCAGAAACACAGAGAAATATTTAGATATCATTGTCAGCACCTGGTTGGGAACATCAGTCCCTACCTATGAAATAGACCTCATGCTTGATTTCCTGTGCTTGTTCCTTGCTTTTCAATTTCACTTGATTAAAGGTCGATTTGGTTGTTTTCTTAGTGTTAATTCCACTTCACCTTGGCTTTTTAGTCCACCTGGGCTATTATGGGCATGGTATACAGCTAAAAGACACCTGTTACCCATATGTTATGCCACTACAAAGGTAACTGTGACAAAGGGACCAAAATATGACTTTTAATTACATTTTAGATTGTACAGGAAACAGAGACCAAGTGATCAGAAAGCCTGCCAGAAGAACATAACCAACCAGAAGGACATAACCAACGTAAATCAACACCAAGCAAAACAGATGTGAACACTGAAAGTAAAATCCGTCTGTATTTTTACCTCTCTTCATTTTCTCTGTTGCTTGATGTAAGCTCTCCCTGAATTACTCTTCCTGAGCTTTGACCCGTCTGGCACATACTTAACAAGAAACTAAACATAATATGCTGTATCCCACGCAGTTTAAGTGACTTGACATTTCCAATTCTACACGTTACCTTTGCAGTGGTTTTCATCCCAAGGATATACACAATTCTGGAGTCCATTGCAGACCAATGTATTATTTATACACATATTACTGTGGCAAAAGAATGTGTTGGCTTCACAAGGGGCTAAAAACAAAAGAGAAAAAGCTGATATTAAGCTTTATTATTTAGCTCTCCACAACAAATACATCTAGGAGTGATCATGTAATCTGTAATAGGAGAAAGCTATACAACACAAGTTCTTTGAGCATATTTAATATTCTACACATATCACTGAGAGGATTCAAGTCACACACTGTTTATTATTCTATGGCAAGAGATTTTCAATTCTGTCTAGGACTTTCCCATAGTCTGACTCTCATGGCTGTAGTGGGTTGGATTCCCATACACTGATAGGGGGCTGTTGATGTATTATCAACACTTTTAGCTACAGATCCAAAACACAGCACCCTATGGGCTGCTATGAAAAAAGTTAACCATATCCCTGCCAGACCTGGTATATGGGAAATAATTTGCTTTAAAGTTTGTTGCTGAAACTCCAGTTTTGTAAGAAAACTTGTGTGATACAAAGAAGATATGTACTTTAGTGCCCATATACACAGAGAAATATAATTATTTTTAAAACCTCATGATCATAAGAAAGGCTACAGTAAAAAAGTACCTCTTCGATAACAAATGTGAAATTAACAAAAAGCAACAGTCTTCAGTGTCTCTGAAGCCCGTGGTCTAGGAGAATCATGTAGATTAAAGCTGCAGGATGAAGACTTTACTGAAGACTATGTACTATTACTGTGAAGAAGCAGCTTGGAAGCCATCAGAAGGAACTGTACACTCTTCTAAACTGTGCTGCTTACTTGAGTGTTGGGAGATCTTTAGGTGTTCGAGTTTTAAAGTTACTACTCCAAAACTATATACTATAGTAAAGATAAATTACTCCTCATATTTATTTTGTTAAAATCAATCCAGAAGATTTTTCATCATTTAGAAAAAGAGCTACAAACTTTATCAGTGTTAAGTCAGTAAAAATGTATCGTTCATGTATTTTTTTAGCTCAAACAACCCAAAAGCATTATTATACTTTTTTTTAGGTGAAAGTTAAAAAATAACCTAAGACTATTAACAAACCAGAAAGGAATTATGATGATGTTAATTTTATTTACACTTAAAATTTGATGCTTCATGGCAGTTTTTATTCTCTGCAACTTTAAAAACAGTTCCTATGACAACATATATGCATAACGCTGAGACTGGTTCAGAGCAGATGACTGCTTCAGTGGTTTGCTAACTAAGGAGAGTACAAAGGATCTATATTGCAGAACTTAACGACTCCATATATCATATCAAGAAATCCACTTTTCAATAAGTGCTGAAGTTCAGATATCCATAACTGACTATAATGTCTTCTTCAGAGCAGTCATGGTGTGTTAAACAAATGATAAACATCATCAAAACTTGTACACACCCCCAAATACACAACCATCCACTCAGATATAATAGTATATGTATGCTCTGTCTCTTAGCTGGTGGAAGACTCATCAGCTAAACTCTTTCTGCTCACTGTTCAACTTTTGGAAAAATCGTATATATCATCTCCTAAGCTTCAGTGACCCTGAAACTGGTTGAACTGTCAAGCTCAAAAATTTGTGATCATTCCAGCTTGAGGCCAGTCACTAGTGATGTACCCCAGGGATCAGTACTGGGGCGGTACTCTTTAACCTCTTCATTAATATCCTGGATGATGGGACAGAGTGTATCCTCAGCAAGTTCGCAGGCAGTGCAAAAATGGGAGGACTGGTTGATAAGACCAAGTGGTTGGGTGGCTGTACAGATGGACCTCAACAGGCTTGAGAAACAGGAACTTCAAGCATATAAACAAAAGGAAATGCAAAGTATTCTGAGGAGGAATAACTTTGTGCACCAGTACGTGATGGGGACTGACCATCTGGAAAGCAATTTTGCAGAAGAGGTGCTTGTGCGCAATAAGCTGATCAGGAGCCAGCAATGTGCCCTTGTGGCAAAGAAGGCCACCAGTATTCCGGGCTACATTAGGAAGAGCATTGTCAGCAGGTTGAGGGTCATGATCCTTCCCCTATACTCAACACTGGTGAGGACACATCTGCAGTGGTCTGTCCAGTTCTGGGCTCCCAACCACATGAGAGACATGGGCATACTGGAGTGAGTCCAGCAAAGGACAACAAAGACCGTTAAAGGCTTGGATCATCTGACATATCAGGAGAGGCTGAGAGAGCTGGGACTGTTCACCCTGGAGAAGAGGAGGCTCAAGGAAGGGGGGGCTCTCATCAGTGTGTACAAATACTTGATGGGAGGCAATAAAGAAGACAGAGACAAGCTCCTCTCGCAATGTCCAGTGACATGACAAGAGGTAATGAGCACTAAATGAAATACAGGAAATTCCCCTTAAACAGAAGAACAAGTTTTTACTTTGAGGATGGTCAAACACTGTGCAGGAGCTGTTTTCCCAGAGAGGTTGTGGTGTCTCCATCATTGAAGATATTCAAAACCCAACTGGACACAGCCCTGAGCAATTTGTTGTACCTGACCCTGCTTTGAGCAGGAGGATTGGACTAGACCATATCCCAAAGTCCCTTCCAACCTCAACTCCTCTGTGGCTTTCCAAAAAGAAGGCTTCATAATTAGATTAAAATAACAGTTGGGAACACACAGTTATGTAACTTCTCCTGCATCCCAAAGCTGCCTCGAGTCAAGTTCTGCCAAGGTACTGGCCTAGAAATAAGTGAGATAGATAACCTGTTCAGCACAATGAACAATTCATAATGATTATAACACAAGTGAGCAAATTAGAACTGTACATATAACTCAACCTGATGTATTTTAATAACTTTAAGTTTTTGATAAATGTTTGGATTTTTACAGCATGAAAACACTATAATTTAAATTAAGTCATCAATTAAAGAGAAAAATTTATTATTAAACTCATTCCAGTTTGGATTTGAACCAATAATTATTTTTATGTAAAACTACATAGTTTTTATAAAATATTATGGACAAAACAAAAAATTTCAAACACTTTCATTCTACATTATTTCTAATGAAATAATAATTTCTTTGTAAAAATTTGGGTGTTATATGCAGGGATACTTTGCATCTTAATGTACAAACAGATTTTATGTTTGTGGAATTATAATGTTAATGTCTTCTGCTTTGCAAGAAGTATTTATATTGAACACAAGATGGTGCCCTTATCCTAGAAGATATATAAGCAAGTGAGTTAACAGGAATAGACAGACTCTAGTATCCCAGAGTCTTTTTCAGATTTGGGAAACCTATACTTTAAAAAATCCATAATAATAACCCTATTTCTGTTATATGAAATATAAATATATCTTGTTCCTAGTCCAAGTTAGGAGATTGTTATAATGATCATATTTCCAGAAGGTTACCATCACAGTACTCAAAAAAGCCTGATTTTAGTATTTGAAGGTTACTGCTTTCAAAATTTATAAAACTTGAGCCAACAGAGTTGTCTATATTTTCTTACTATTGGAAGGTTTTTGAAATGCACATGGAGCCTGTAATCTATACTTTTTCATTTATTAATGCAAAATCATAATAAATTCTTTTAATCCTCAATAGCTCTAAGGCAGAGAAACATAAAGAGCATTAATAGTTCTTCCATACACCATGCTTACAAACTAACATAAAAAAAAAAAAAACCCAGCCATATTTTATATTTAAAATAAATACTGCTTTCACTGAGTCAGTAAAATAAATAATCACAAGTAATACATGCACTATAAATAAATAAATACTATAAAGATAACAATATACCGCACTATAGCAATTAAATTTTCTATGTCTTCTATGTCTTACTAATAATTATTATACTATTCTGATGTTATGACATTAACAATAAAATAGTTTATCTCTGTGTGTTGAGCATCATTTTATTGGGCATTACAGGATACTTTTGGTATAAAATGCAAACATGGCCAGGTCAAAATATTTTTCCAAAATGAAGTCAAAACTGACTTGTTACAGACGTGATGTGAAGCCTGGCTGTTCCACTTCAGTGCAGTGCTTTCCCCAGTGTATTTACAGTTTTGTAGCACTGTGAAGAGTTAGTGAAACTCCTTTGCTTCTAGGATGTGAACTAGCTCTGAGCAAACTAGCTGAGTTGTCTACGTTTACTTCACTGAACATGTGGATTTACCCTTTGAACCTGTTTCAAGACAGCAGTTTCAGTCTGGGACTTCCTAATCTTAGATTAATGCCCTACCCTACTTGCCATTTTCAGTCTTATCTCTCCTCCTCCCTTCCCTTCTTGTCAAAACATTTTCAAGAGGTCTTGTTTTCTCCTGAGGGTGAATGGGAAAATTCTGAAATCTCAATAATGGTTACATGTGAGAAACATTTTACACTGAAGCCATCAGACATTTCACACCTACTCCTCACGTGCTCAGGATAGCTCATTGCATCATGCTCTGTGCAGGAATCCTTTAAGCATAGATCATTTGGATTTTCCCACTGTTCCTTACTGAAAAATAGAGCTTTCTTTCCTTCACAAGAGAAAGAAAAATTAAATTCTTCAGATGTTCCTTGAATCATCCTTGAAACGGAGGAAGAAGTTTTCTCTCAGCCTCTCCAAGGAACAGTTCATCACTCAAGCTGAGAGACTGTTTCACTTTGTTGAAATTATAAAATCATAAAGGTGGTTTTAGTGCTGTACACTACAAGTATATTACCTAAAGTAAAATTACTTATATTTTCATTTGGCACTAATGAAAAAAAATCTTATTAAAATATGGCTATTAGAAACATGAAAATGAAATGTGCTTAATATTGAATTTTCTTTCTCAGCCAACTTCAGACAGCTCTGTTCCACATAAATGTAACCTTTACAGATAGTTAATACCAGATACACATTGATAATCTGGTCTTTAAAAAACACTTATGAGAGGTTTCGTGGTTTTTTTTTTTTTTTGAATATGAACTCACCAGAGAATGGCAGCTCAGGAGCATCTGCTCAGAGCTCCAGTCTGTGTTCAGTTTATACACTCTAGGCACCACAAACACCTATTTTGTCAAGGGGCGGAGAGGCACTGGGATGTTTAGCCAGTGAGGATTTTTCACTAGAGATAGCTGCAAATAGCACAGAGAGGCAGAAAATCACAGGTGAGTGCTCACCACTGAGGAAGCAATCCCAATGTTTTCTTTTTTATATATTAGTGTGGAAGCAGGGAGAAAAAACAGCAAAGCTGCAATGTATTAATATTCCTAAATTCTTACAAAGGGAAGACATCTCTTCACATGTGTTGCCCTTATCTCTTTGTTGTTCCCTTTCTCTGTAGTTCCCTTTGCATTAACACAGTAAACGCAGTCATTAGTACTGCATACCTGCAGTGCCTTTTCCCCACTAGAGAATTGCGCATGCTGGGGTGATCATCTTCAGGGATTCTGGCTGTAAACAAGTACTTGAATGCTGTTATTCGATAAAGCTGTGCACTACTCTTCTAAACATGGCCCTAGATTTCTATCCAAATAAACGTTTTGTTAATGAAAATAAAATAAGGATGATAAAACTTCTGCTCCTTTAAGAAAGCCAGGTGTGACAGGGCTTTCAAAACAGGCTTACAGCTCAAAGGGGCAACAAAATGGGAGAAGGAATTAAGTTTTTCTGGTCTGGGGTTTGTGATGCAGGGTTATGGATGGAGGAGGAAGCAGTGCTACCAAATAGCAGTCAGAGGTGAGAGAACAAACATCTTGCCTGCTGTGCATACAGAGGGATTTTCTCTTATCCCATATGCCCTGGTTCTATGAGTCTGCTTTTAGGTTAAAGCATAGGTGTGTCTGCTCAGGAGCAGCTCTTTGAAGAAACTGTAGGTGTAGCACATCTGTCATTAATCAGGCTGGAGATGACTCTCACAGTCACGGAAAATTAAATGAACAGTTAGTCAGCGGATGAAAAAACAGAGACTCATTTTTCAAGTCTTCTTACCAAATGAACAGACACCTTTTGAAGATAACAACTTTCTTGTCTTCCTTTTTCTGATTATTAAATTAATCTATTGAATATTTGAAATCTACTGTAGACAGTGAATATTGTACACAAAAATAGTATTAGGTATATATGCTTAGAAGATATAGTAAAGATTAAATAGGTAAGGACATAAACGGACAAAACCCATAATGATAGTTGTAATAGCTAATAATGCTGATGAGAAAATACCAGATCACTACTCTGAATTATCAGCTATTAAGAATTAATTGGTTATTAAGTGTTACTTAGAGCTCTACTACTATTCTGATGATGTGAGAATCATTACTGATTTTCTGGCATAGGAAATTTAACAACCCCTTGGATTGCATGCCTTTCCTTCAAACATGTTGTCCAAAACATAACCTCACACTAGCTGCTACGAAGAAAGTTAGCTCTGTCCCAGCTGAAACCAGGACATGGATTTATAGCACTGCTGCTCTGCAGATCACCACTGGTAGAGGGTTGGAAACTTGTAAGACCACATTTTAGATGCCAACAAAAAAAGACATACTTATTTCAAACATAATTGGAGCACACGGATTAAACCGTATGCATCAAAAGAAGCATTAGCAGCAGGTAGAAGGAGGTGATTCTCCCCCTCTACTCTGCTCTTGTGAGACCCCACGTGCAGTACTGTGTTCAGATGTGGGGGCCCCGACATAAAAAAGACGTGGACCTATTGGAGTGAGTCCAGAGGAGAGTCATGAAGATGGTTGGAGGGCTGGAGCACCTCCCCTATGAGGACAGAGTTGGGGTTGTTCAGCCTGGAGAAAAGGCTCCGAAGAGACCTTATAGCAGCCTTCCAGCACCTGAAGGGGGCCTACAGGAGAGATGGGGAGGCACTCTTTATCAGGGAGTGTAGTGAGAGGACAAGAGGTAACTGTTATAAACTGAAAGAGGGTAGATTTAGATTAGATATTAGGAAGAAATTTTTTCCTGTGAGGGTGGTGAGGCACTGGAACAGGTTGCCCAGAGAAGCTGTGGATGCCCCATCCCTGGAGGTGTTCAAGGCCAGGCTGGATGAGGCTTTGAGCAACTTGGTCTAGTGGAGGGTGTTCCTGCCCATGGTAGGGGTGTTGGAACTCGATGGTCTTTAAGGTCATTTCCAACTCTAACCATTCTATGAAAAATGTATAAGAAATCTCTTTCAGATTTCTCTGTTCTACACAAATGTCAAATCCCAGAAAATGGCTCTATAACAAGAATTAACACTGAATAGACTTGCAAAAAAAGAAAACATTCCTCAGTCTAGGTAGCCTGTTTCTACAAAAAAACACTTCCAGTTCACAGAGCCTTGTGTAAGGGAAGACTCACAATCTCAACAACTTAACTGCACACCAAGGAGAGGAACTTGGGGAGTTACAGATCTCCTGGTCATTCCCACAGCAACAGTAAATACTGGAATTTTACTTTGTCTCTCTTTCTTAGCACATAACCACAACATAAATGTCATCTTCTACTTTGTTGTTTTCTCAGCTCTAGGTGAACAAAATAGCTTTATTCCTCTTTCTTTGTCCCTGAGTAGAGACACGGTGGCTGTTCCCTGATGCACATCTCCCAGAATGAGGCCTGACATTCCTTCTCTTCCATGCAGATGATCTAATTATTCCCACACGCTGCTGAAAGATATTGCAGTTTCCATGCTATGTGCTGTATCTCGCAATGCACACACTGGACATCTGCTTTAGTTGACTTCTGGCAGCCAGCACCATTCTGCGACATAGGGCAGCAGCACTAACAGACAACAGACATGGCACAGAAAGGGCAATCTGCATCACCTTTAAATCTTCAAAGTCAATTTCAAGCATTAGAAACACAAATGCAGTTTCTTCTACTATTTATGAGCAGGCTGTGTAAACATATCTCAAAGCACAATTTAGCCCTTAATAAATTTTCAGCTTTTAGCTAGCAGTGACTGATTGGAATAAATTTACAGAAAACACATCATGCTAATATTTTCAATTTCCCAGTCAGAATACCATGCAGTGTAAAATATCGTTTGTTTACGAGAATGGAGTAGTTTATAAGATTCAGCATATCAGGTAAACATATTAGGAATACTCTAAGAGAAAAACTACATTTTCTCTTATTTTCCTTTAAAATATGAAAGTCTTGCAAACACACATTTATTCAAACCTTCATTTCAAGTTAGCCATCACAGTGCTTCACTCTCCAGTTCTTTATATACTGTAAACCTCCAGTGTCTATGCAGTTGTTTCTAAGGTAACAGATCAGGATGCCTTGTGAAAAAAATGCATCAGATCTTGAATATTCAGGACGTCTCCAGTTGCAGAAATGAGAAAAGGGCAGTATCGTCTCAACTAAGAATTCTCAACATCTTTTAGACCCTGGCCTAATTTACAGACAAGAAAAAAACAATCCACCCTAAAGCTGCAGTGTGAGAGTACAGTGGTTTATGCCATTTCAGGCATGTAGACTGTCAGAAATTTTTAATCAGAGCCATAATTAATGAATTACGGAGGCTGTTCTCAACAGAGTCTCATTGCCTCATTGCAGGGTACACACACACAGAGAATACAGATGAAGAATGTGTTTTGTAGGATTGCACCTTCATTCCAACCACTGACAGCCACACAGAAGTCTTCCTGTCAGACATGTGATGCACAAACCAAAAAATACTTTAAAAATGAACATGAATCAGCATGTGAAAATAAATGCATGTACTCCTTCCTCAAGGGATCAAATGTGTATTATTTTCATCAAAGAAAACAAATCGATATCTTTCACAGGTGATTACCTCAGTCAATCATTTTCAGTGAAGGGGATTATTGGGTTTCGTTAAATGTTTCTCATTGTTTCTTTGTTTGTTTGTTTGTTTAAACTGTCTAGAACTACCTTTTGTTTCTTTCAAAGTCTGTTTTGCTTATTATCTGAGTCCAGAAATGATGTAAACAGATGAATGCAGGCAAGGTGCATAGAGAGAATATTAACCATCATGTAAAGCTTTTAGGAAACTTCTGTTTTTGTTTAAACTGTCTAGAACTACCTTTTGTTTCTTTCAAAGTCTGTTTTGCTTATTATCTGAGTCCAGAAATGGTGTAAACAGATGAATGCAGGCAAGGTGCATAGAGAGAATATTAACCAAAATATCATGTAAAGCTTTTAGGAGACTTCTGTTACTACAAAAAATAACTAAATTCTTTGCTTAACAACATATGACATATATATTTATTGGTATATGCATTCTGCAATATGCATAGACACACCCATCACCTGTGATAAAGTAATCATAAGGTGTTTTTCAAATGCCTGTCATAATGAAATCTAAAAGATCAATTTCACAAAAAAGGATCTGCCTTGATGAAAACCTTCAGAGGTCTATTAATTTCCATGTTGTGTAAGGGAAAACTGAGACATAGCAGCCCAGTAGTTTGGGAATCACATAAAAGTCGTGGTCATATGACTGGACAGGTTGTGACTACTCCTGTCTTCCTGTCTCTGAATCCTGTGCTGTACCTACTGTGTTAGAAACTATTGCACACTATAAATGGAATAAAAACTGTTTTGAATGTTTTTATAGCTTGTTTGGGAACATTCTTCAGTGACTTCTCTAAATGAAGAAAACATTAATGCTTTTTGGGACTTGTATCATCTAACAAACTGGAAGATGGACACAGCAATTAGGGTCTTACGTTCTTGGAAAGACGTGAAGAGCATCTGGAACCGGCTGCTTCGACTGCCTTCATCTGCCCACATGCGGATTACACCGAGACCTGTCCGTAGCATTACGTCATTAGCAACAGTGCTGCAAAACTTTGCTTTCAAATCCTCCACGGAGCTACTTCCATCATAGACAGCTACAAAATTCCTTTTGCATTCATTGGAATTCTGCATCTCATAGTCCAAGAATCTCAAATAGATCTATGAAACAAACAAACAAACAGCAAAGGCAACAGGTACAGACATTTGAGAATGACTAAACAAACATTAAACACCTTTGATCTACCTTGTGGGAGAAAGCCTAGACAACAACACCCACCACCATCAAAATAATCTTTATGGAGTTGGTGATCCATAGACCATATCCCTGGAAGGGCATTAATATGGAAACTGAGTACTGTTTATATTTCCCGGTATTTTGTCTTGCTTCAAAGTAGAATCCATTGGAAGATCTAGACATGTTTGTTCTTCTTTGCAGTAAGGTCCTAATTTCCAAATATATGCCTGTGTTTGAGAAGTATGTACAACAGTCTTTCAAGATGAAACACAGAGAAGCTATAAATTTCTTCTTTCACTGGCTGGCACAATATTGTTCTATTACTTGCCTGACATAGAAAATAATAAGGCAAATAATTGCTACTCCCTCCCCAGAGTCAATATGTGTCATCTTTGTGACATGTCTCAGCTACACTGATTCAGGAAGTGAGAATCTGGGAGCCAGGCAGAATTCAATCATTAATCTCTTTATGTTTCTTAAAGGAATTTGGCCACCGTCAACTTCTCTAAACAAAGCCTTATAGTATATATCTTCATAATTTAACAGGGTTGAAATAAAGTGTATTTTGTGGAAACTGCTAGAAACCCAGAAAGTTTTTCAGGAAATGTCTCTCACATACCAGCTGAGTTCTCTCATAAATGTAATTAGATATCTTGCCCTTTGCAAAGAACTCTTTATATCTACCTGAAAAGAAGCAGGGGTGAGGAGAAAATGTATCGTTTGATATTCAACTCTATATGGACTAATTTTTTTCCTATATTTTCTAATAGGGAAAACCACTCATTTTAAAAGGAATTCCTAATACAAGCAACATCAAATATTCCAGTAACAAAGACGCTAAGTAATGTTTTCAATAGACACATGATACATAATCAAACTGCCAAGAATACCCAGACTTCAGGAGAATGATACAGAAAAGTGAAATAAGGTAGAAATAGAATAAAAAACCAGTCAATATATCCAGCATCCAGCTATATGCATCTTTACTTGAAAAAATAACCAAAAAGAAACTCCACAGTATTAGACATGAGATATACTTCTTTACAAACAATCTTATTGACTTCAAGTAGTTTTTTACGTGCACAGAACAATTGCTTAAAAAGCTTCTCTGGATTTGCATAAAGTACACAAACACAACATATCCTAGCAACAACAGGACTCACCACTTTACCTCATTATATATTAATGCTCTTATGGTTTGAGAATTATGTGCTATAAGCAGTCTGCTGCTGTTTAATAATAGCTCAGATTTTTAAATGAGCCTTTTCAGGTAGTGTATTATGGTACATTTTCATTCCTTGTTATGCTTTGCAACTGGTCTTTCTGAAAAGAATATTTGTAAAATTATTTTTACTAGTATATGAAACTTGGTATGTTAAGTTTCATTTCTCTTGCCTAACATTTTTCTAGTATTTTATTTCTTACAATAATCCTTACTTATGTTCCAGTATTCCTATCCTCCAGAAGAGCTCAGAGGAATATTTTTCAATTAAATTATAGTTAGGGGAATTCTACTTTCACCACGTATCTTGGTTTTTTAAATACTATAAATTAAGGAGGTTTCTCGTATTGGTCTCTACAATATAGAACAGTTAACAGTAATACACAAAATAATGGCAATATCTTCTATCAAGGAATACTTTAAGTGTTTTTAATTTATTTTACTGGTTGCTCCACCCCTGCAATGGCATGAAAAATTGGTAGAGTTAAGTCACTGGGCATTGCTGAAATTTTCTCACAGTATCCCCCTTTTCTTATAAATGTGTTATTTTGAAATATCTTGCCATTTCCTCTCCTACTGGAGGACATGCAGTTTCCATTCCCATTAAAACAGGTCATCTACTTCCTTGATGAAGTCATACTTAAAAGCTTGTTTTGAATTCTGAAGTTTTGTTGAGTGCAGAAAATGCATTTCTGAAGTTCCTCTGCACTGGCTACATGCCTTTACAAGTCTCTCATTCTCTGCTCTCTTCTGCCCTTTCCCAGCTGCTCAGGCACCTGACCCTTTACTCCTTCTTGTACTCCAAATCCTTGTTCTTGGTGTTCTTCAGCTATTTGAACATTTCTGTCTTGCTGATGCCTGACTAGTTGAGCCCCTCAGTTGTTCTTAGTCTTCAGTGTGGCTCGTGCTCTTTTCTATTCATATAGCATCAGCTACTTCCACAGTCACCAGGCAGATGGTTGACCCTTGCTGCCAGATACTTCCTAGAAACTGTTACACCTCTGATAGGAAGTGTATGAGAATGTGCAGAAATTAACTGGAACCAAGCAAAACTGAGCAGTGAAAGGCTAATGAGAGAGCTGCAGGCAAGAATTTTGGACCAGTCAGTGATGAAGGCAGCCATGCAGAACTGGGATGGGCAGTGTGAGATGGGCTCTTACTCCTCACTCCCATGGTTTGATAAGACCCTCTTGTATTAGCAGCTCCTGGGGTCAAGCTGGCACAGGCATGGCGTTGTCCTGACCGAGCAAGATCATGTGTGAGGCAGGGAAGCATGGGAAGAGGCAGAGCTATTGATACCCACGCACAGCAACTGGACATAGCTGGGACACACCGGAGAGCTGCTTCTGTGTCCTAGAAACCAGCCACTCCTGCTCAAACAAGAGCGTCATAGGCACTGTGAAGCCCTGGCACCCAGCTTCTTCTGTGAAGCTAGTTGCTGACATAGTCCATAGTCCATCATTTGACACTCTCTAGTTTCTGGTGGCGTGCTAGCCTCATGAAATAGTAAAATATTTCTTAAAGTAGCAGTTAAAAATGCTGAGGGGGAATCAAGAGAACAATAACTTATCATTTCACTTTGAATATTTCAGTGAAGAAGCCAACACTTTCAGATCTTCCCAAGCCTGAATTCTGCTGTCAATCAAACTGGTTCGTTTCTCTGTGTTTTAAGTTCAGCTAAGATCGTAACACATATAGACTTGATAGGTACTGGAACCACTGGGAAGAAATATTTGGCTTTAAAATCTATGTCCATCCTTTAGAAGAAAGATGACACCTTCTCCAATGGCATGAAGTTTCATAAATAAGAGAAAATAAATTCCTGATATTCTGAGGTGAGTTGGAGTTTCATTCTCATAGTCTCCTTTGGAGATGTCTATTCCCAGAACTTTATATAAAGTAATGAGGACCTGATCCAAAGCTCACTGAAATCAGTGGGTATCTTTCAATTTACTTAAGTTTATTTGGATCAGACCTATGGATTAAGACTGCAGTGCATTTTTAAAAACTGGAAATGGATTACACAAACTGACAACCTGATATTGAATCAGATTTTATTTTAAAGAGCTGGAATAATTTAATTGCATTGGCACACCTCTGCCAATTTTTATGGTTTTATTACTATATATTTGCTATTGTTCCTGTCACTGTCTGTAAGATCAACATTGGCAGAAGAAAATGACTAATAAATTGAGTTCCCCAAGGAAAGAATAGAACTGATTACATGGCAAACTCTTATCTAATGCAAAATGTTCCTGATATATAGTTTTCTGAAATCAGTAACAATATTGTCATTACTTTCACTGATGCGGGTCTTGCTAAAAGAAGTTAAGCAGAAAGTGAGAGAAAAATTATCAATATTTCTGGTTATTTCATTTCCTGAGATCTTAGTCATTACTTCTACCAGCAGTGGATAAGAAATTTTGCTCTCCCAAAAGAAAACAAACAAAACAATGGTCACAAACTCAAATGCCACCATCTTCCTTCAATAGACCTTTTTTATTGATACTAATGGTAGATTTTAGAATGATAACATTTCTGCAGGTAATTGTTAACGTTATATTAACATAATAAGAACATTCTTGTTGAAGAGAATAACTTATTTGAAAGAAGCAGTATAACTGCCATATCTTCTTTGTTCACATTTTTGTTGTAAAATTTTAATAAGACACTTTCCACAAATCATCAGTTCCACATTACTTAAAAGAACAGACTCCTAGTGCACAAGTATTAGCTTTCACTGAGCTTTGAGATGTCACTGCAAATGCCAATGCCATTAGCAACAAAACTGATAAAGCCTCAGTGCAACTGTGGCATGTATAATTTACACTCAGTCACATTATAATTTAAATAATTGTCTTGTCACCTTTAAGGTTTGTATTGTCATCATAGTAATGAAAAATAAAATGCTGGATAAGTTTTACTATTTTTTTAATTTAAATTTGAAAACAGAAATCTCTGCATATATTAGAAAAAAAGAGTACAGTTGTAAACTATGAATAATATATCACTTTAGTAAAATGGTCAGATTATAATCTCTTCATAGTGAATCACTTTTGATGAGTTCTGCTTTTTAATCAATCACTGAAGGTTAGAGCTGACAACATGATTGATCAGGCCAGTCAGGAAAAGCTTCAAACCGTATCCCAGCATATCAGACTTAATATATGTGCACAGACATTCAGTCCTTTATAATGCATCAACACAACCCAAACTAAACAAACAAAAAGCCATCATTCAACTGTCAAAAGTAATTTAAATGTAAGACAAAAATCTCCTCTTCATCAGGGACTGATGTCCATATTTTGCATATTTGGCTTCTAGTTTCAGTGAATTCTCTTGTAAGCACAGGACTGGGTTAAATGGTCCAACGTTCTTCCCCATTGCTCAGTGATCAGTTACAGTGTTTGCTTTGTTCTGCATCCTGTTCAGCTCTATGTGAGTTTTCAAGATGATACTTCCAGTATTTAGGCCTGGGAAGCCCAGTTTTTTAAAGCAGATTGTGCAACACTAATTAATCTCCTTCAAGGCAAACGATGACAGGCATACTAGCCTGAAAAGCATGTTACTAACAATGCTGAATTTGTCTTCTAAAGCAGCCTGTCCTGTTGCTTGAATCCTATACTTGTTTTTTTGAAAATCAACATTACTTCAGCCCGAAAGCACTAACAATACCTGTTCTGTTTGGTTTTTTGATTGTTT